TATTAGTATCAAAAATGTTGTATGTTATGTACATTGATGGTAATTAATGGTTATTATATTATCGGCAAATTGGAAAATTGAACAAAAACAGAAATCCCTTATTTAGGAATGTTGCGTCTGAAATACTTAAACCAAGATGCAACTCTTGAGTGAAATGTTTGCCGCTACTGCCTTTATATATAAGTCAGCAAGTCCGTGCAAGCATTTCCTGTGTCTTGAATGCTCTGTCATAAACAGGTGGCAAGTCAGAGAATTGGAATGGCAGGAGCCACCATTTACTGTGTTTTTTTATTGCATCATATTACATTTTCCTCGAGGACACTGAAGGGAAGGAATAGGTTCAGCCATTGTCACTGAAGGCACATTGCTTCGTGTTGGTTTTTCTCCGATGGTTTCATGTAAAACTTTGTGTGTGAATTTGACCAAACAATACTGTAGATTTCTCGAATTAGACACAATTATATAATTGGATAATACAGTCGTGACTCGATAATCCGACCCTTAACAATCCTAATCCTTGCTGCCACGCCCTCAGAGTTTTGCAGAGCGTTTTGATAACGTTTGATCACCAAGCCCTGTTGTATGCGCTGACCAAATTTGAGGTGTGTAGGAGTTAAGCCCTAGGAGGAGATAGATTTTGAAAATGGCAAAAATCACAAAAAATTGCACACTTGTTTCAAAATGGCAGACTTCCTGTTAAGTTTATGGTGTGGGTCCAAGAGGCTTTTTTGTGCATCCTGATGTGTTACATATGCCTACCAATTTTTGTAAACATCGATTAAATGTCCTGCGGGGGCTAATTGCTGCAGGGGGCGCTATAGAGCCATTTTGCCAAACAGTCACACATTGTCTGTGGTTGAGCCGATAGTGACTCGTATGTCAGTTTTGGGGAGTTTATGAGCATTCCAAAGCTGTCAAAAAGTCCTTTTCGTGTCATAGAAGCTATGCGTTGCCATGGCAACACCGTTGCTTGAAAACACAAAAGCTTCACGCTGTAGCATCAACAATGTGGAAAGACTTAGCTGACCAATTTTAGGAATGATATCACAAAGCTTGGAGCAATGGCACAAGTAAGTGTAATACCTCAAACAGCCTGTTACCAATAGGTGGCGCTATGACTGTGAATAGATTTTGGCATATGGATGTGATCAGGACAGCAGTCTGATCAAATATGTAAAGTTTGAGGCAGAATGGAGCAGGTACAGGGTAGTTACACGGTACTTCCTGTTTCATGGCGAAGGATCAAACATCAGAGGGTTACCATGGCCACGCCCTTTGACCTCTGCAGATGATGTTGATAACATTTTACCTTCAAGGCGTTTTCTACCTGCTACCCACGTTTCAGCGCTCTGTGACTTACCCCCAAGGAGGAGTTAGCTCAGATTGGACAAACAAACAATCCAAAATGGCGGACTTCCTCTTGGGTCTAGGGTACGGCTGTCACTGACTTTTTTGGTCGTCCTGACCTCCTCCATATTCCTACCAAATTGCGTGGGTCGAGGTCAGACATGCTTCCGATGGGACTCTGTTGAAATTTTCTAGGTGGCGCTGTGGAGCCAGTTTTCTATTGAGGTGTGTATTTCCCCCTAACTATAAAGTTTTTCACCGGGTCTGATGTGTGCGCCAAATTTTGTGAGTTTTCGAGCACGTTTAGGACCTGAAAAACACGTTTCTTTGTGACGAAGAAATAATGACGTAGCAGTTCCAATAGGGTCCTACGCACTGTAGTGCTCCGACCCTAAATATTAACAACAAATGAACCTTCAGCCATCAAGCCCTCCTTGTATCTCAACCTGGACAGTCCGACAGCCTTGCTATCCGACTTAAAAGAAGGTTTTACGTTTAGTGTCAGATTATCGAGTCACGACTGTATCCTGTTTTGTTTTTTGTTTTTTTCCAGTCTACTCCGGTGTACTTTATACTAAACAATATTAAGGACTAGTGCTCTAGCAGAGACTTATCTCAGGGCAGTCAGGCAGCAAAAGTCTCTTCTTCTTCTATGATTGCTTTACTTTTTGTTGTCTTTGCTCTATTCAAACATTTATGGGATCATTTAATCAAAGCGCTCTTCCTAAAAGAGTTCAGGTGTAGTGTTGGTTCAAATTGGCCATTTTCCATCCAGCTTTTAGCCATCCACTCCTCAGTGACCCTTAGAATTAAAACAATAATACAGTAATGATACCAAAGTTGCATCGAATGTACCTTTTTTTGCAAGCTTCTGCTGCCCAACCACGGTGCTTGACACTTTCTTTCCATCCGCCCTTCTGCTTTGCCAATTTGCTGTCACTTGATCCTCTTTATCATCCGCTGGCCAGAGGATGCTCCCAACTGGCCGAAATGCTTGGCAACTGTAACTAAGGGGCAGACATAACTGTGCTAAGCTGTTGCTTGAATAAGAATAAATAAAGACACCAGAAGAACCTGGAGCCTTGATTGATCATTTAGAGGACGCGTTTTACAAGGCTTAGCTGTCCAACATGGCCCTTAGCATAATCAAGTGTTTGTGTTGGTCTGAAGACGATGTTCAATGCTGGTCGTTTGGTTATTTGTTAATTTAACAAAGTGGCAAATAGAGGGAAAGTAGAGATGGTAAAATGAGTCACTTGTAAAGTCAACAGTTCTACATTTGATCATTTTATGTTATATTTTTATCGCTGTAGGTTGTTTTTATGTATGAACGAAGCAGAACTGTTTTATAAGCATCGGGCAAGGTGAATATATGGAGAAGGGGAAGTGAGAGGAAGATGTGGGACTTAAACGGGGAAGGAAAAAGAGGAGGGGAGAAAGGGTGGAAGGGGGGAGGGGGCTTTAGTTAATAGAAAATAGACTGTGAGAGAGATAAGTGATATGTAAATAGGAAATGTATCCAAATTTACCTCTGGGAGAAAGCCAGTCTGAGAGACAGGATAATGTGGCAGGCAGCCTCAGGTGCAGCTGGGAGGGGAGGAGGCAGGGCGATGAGCGAGGAGCTGAGCGAGGAAGAGGGAGGGTTTGTGTTTGTGTGACTTTGTGTGTGTGTGCAAAGAGAGAGAGAGAGAGAGAGAGAGACTTGAGTGTGCAAGCTAGAGAGATTGTGTGGTGAGGGAGGGAGGGAAGTGTAAGCCAGTCACAGCATCTCTCCTCACTGCACCAGGGCTGAGGGACTCTTCGTCCCCTCGCTTCCCTCGCTGCAGATTTAACTCATTTCCATCAGCGCAGTCATCTTTTTTTTTTTTTTTTTCCCCCCCTTGCATTTTACTTGCCGTTTTGGACAGATGCATTGCATTCATCTCTTTCTGTGTGCCAGGATCCAAGGATTTATTTATTAAAAACGTGAGTTGTCCTCTTTATCGGATGTAAAAGGGGAGATTCGCTGAGGACAGTGCTTAAAACTGGGACTCCGAATGGGACTCGGTCTTTTCTTTACGCTGCTAGAGTGGATTCCCCTTTTGTTGCGCTGCCAGTGTTTTGTTCAGGGCGACAGACATACTGAGAGAGGAGTTAAAGGCGAGGCTATAAGAGCCCATACCTCCACAACTAAACAGAACGCTCACTTGAAAGGACTGAGGCAAGTTAGAAAATCTACGGTTGCTTTAAGCACTTGAGAAGAAGGTACTAAGCCCTGTGAAGCACTGCCAGGGCTTCAGAGTGTCACATCGAAAATTCAAGTAACAAGTTTATGGGATAAATAAGTGGATTGCCGATTGATCCCCAAACCCCTCTCTGCAAGTGTGCCACGGGATTGCTGAGGAGTGAAATTGAGTGGAGCGCTGAGTTATTCAGCTGGCCTCTCATTGCTCCTGGAGAGTCCTTTCACATGCCTGCATGGAAATCTGACATTCAACACTTTCATCAACAACTGGACTTTTATGTTTGCTTGTGTTCCGCAACTTGCAGTCCAGAACTCTGCGAGGCAAGATTGCACTTTTGGATTTTAACTTTAGATCACTTTATCGGCAGAACTCATCCAGATGATTTCGATGCACGTGGTTTTACCTCATTCTCTCTAGGGATGCCTTGTAAACACATTTTCCCCCACCGCTATGTGTGCTGAGAGAGCTGTGACATTATCTCCTGCGGAGATCCCCTTGTTGTTCTAGCCTGTGTCTGTGTTTTGATTCAGACAATAGCTGGGCATACAGGGGCTCCAGACACTGACCAGAGGACCACCAAAATAAGGGAAGCCTGCCTTTACACAGTAAACACACGAGCACCCATAGCAAAGTGAAACTTTGGATTGTATGACTGGTTGATTCAAAGAGGAAGATGCAATTATACACCAAGAGAAACTCCTTAAAATAAGCTCTTATTTTTATTCAACACATTGGTCCCCTAAAATGTGTTTTTGAGAAGTAACCGCACTCAGTACATTCAGTTTATTCTGTAGGTGTGAAATAGGAGCCATTATGCTGCTTTCTTAGTTATTCTCCTCTGAGGAACTGTAAAGTGAGGGTAGCATTGTACTTTGCTTCATGCTTTAACCCCATGTGGTTTCCTCCCTCACATCTTCGCTGCTCTCTGCCCTTGTGAGGACAGCTTTTGCCCTCAGCCTCCTGGTGGCAACTCTCATTAGAATCAGGCGAAGAGGCTACAGACTGGGAGGCAAAGCAGCAGGGAAGCTCTGCTTTGGGATAGATGCTGGCCACAACACCAATGCTCCCCTGCTTTAGGTTTACTGAAGGAATACAGCTTTTTTTCTCCCTGCTCCTGACTGGTACCCACCCACTACTTTCACTAACCATGCGTGATTGGAAAGGAGAGCTAAACGGGCTGTCCTACCCTCCCAGAGGCTCTATTGATTTTCCTCCAGCCAGTGCTCATTTGATTGAGACCCAGCTATGTGAGAGTAAGGTGAACGAGAGCATGAGTGCGCTAGAGAGAGTATCGAGCTTTGTGAACTGAGGGAGGCTGCAGACGCCTGGTGAAGAACGGGAGGGAGACGGGCACTTCTCCAGTTTCAGGCCAGCTGCCTAATGGGTGGCACACCACAAACCTGACCCACCTGGATAGCACCCAGAACAATGAACCAGTCTGAACTGACAACGGACACGTTGCTCACTGCCAACAGCAGCCATGGAGACTTCTTTTCTAGAAGGGCCTCCAACCACTCCTGTCCCTTGGGCTGGGGGCTGAACGAAGGCGTAGAGGCTTGTGTTCTGGAGACTGCTGTCATTGTGCTTCTCACAGTGCTCATTATTGCTGGGAACCTGACGGTGATCTTTGTGTTCCACTGTGCCCCTCTGCTACACCACTACACCACCAGCTACTTCATCCAGACCATGGCCTACGCTGACCTGCTGGTGGGCCTTAGTTGCCTGGTGCCCACCCTGTCCTTGCTCCACTACCCAGCAGGCGTCCAGGAGCCAATCACGTGCCAGGTTTTCAGCTACGTCATCTCTGTTTTGAAGAGCGTTTCAATGGCCTGCTTGGCCTGCATCAGTGTGGACCGCTACCTGGCCATCACTAAACCACTGTCCTACAACCAGCTGGTGACACCGTGTCGGCTACGAGGCTGCATCACCCTCATCTGGGTGTACTCTAGTCTGGTTTTCTTACCCTCCTTCTTCGGCTGGGGTAAGCCAGGATATCACGGGGATATTTTTGAGTGGTGCGCTCACTCCTGGCCGACCTCTGCCCTCTTTACGGGCTTTGTGGTATGTTTGCTGTATGCACCTGCTGCCCTCGTGGTCTGTTTTACTTATTACCACATCTTTCGCATTTGCCAGCAACACAACAGGGAGATCAGTGAACGGCGAGCACGTTTCCCCAGCCAGGAGATGGAGGCTGGTGAGGGGAATGGTGGCGGGCATCATGGAGGGCATGGACCAGATCGGCGCTACGCGATGGTGCTCTTCCGCATCACTAGTGTTTTCTACATGCTTTGGCTGCCCTACATCATCTACTTTCTGTTAGAAAGCTCCCATGTGCTGGATAGTCCTGCCCTGTCCTTCATCACCACCTGGCTGGCCATCAGCAATAGTTTCTGCAACTGTGTCATCTACAGCCTGTCTAACAGTGTGTTTCGTCTGGGCATGCGCAGGCTCTCTCAGACTATTTGCTCCTTCAGCCACTGTGCTGCAGATGACCGGGACTTTGGAGAGCCTAAACCAAGAAAGAGAGCAAACTCGTGTTCCATCTGAAGGGAGGACTTTTACAGGGTGAGGATACTCCTGGAATCTATGAATGGGAGATATGAATCTTAACAAGCATAGCAGCTAGATCATTTGCAGTTAAATTGGCAGGGCTTAACCAAATGGAAAACCGTTTCTGTTGTATCAGCTGACACCAATGACATTGGCTTGGTCACAATAAACAAGTTATTGCATTGCAAGCTTTTCAAGGAGATGGGTGCAGTGTCTAAACAGAGAGATTTAATGAGAGATGGACACTCTGTGATGGCTTTAATTCTACAGTACCATGGAGGCTTTCTTCGCCTTTACATCTCGCTGTACGTCATCAGCCAGGCCAGACCTCGTTGGAAAAAAAAACAAAACTGTAAATTCCAAAAGGTTTCCGCAGACATCAAATGTGACCACTCTATTTCATGTCGCTCAAGTTTTGCTGGTAGTGGTGAAGTGGATCCATTTTTTATTAGACGTCTCCATTCTTTAACTGTCATTAGCAGATACAGTATAATCCAATAAACGCTTATGCTCACAAGCCCGTTAAAGGGTTGTAAATGGACATTAAGACTTCGTATCCACGTAAACTTACGCACAGTGACAATGACAGCCATTATGCTGCTAAAAACAAATAAAAGACAATGTACGGCCGTGACTGTTTCCTAGAGGAAAGCCAGTTGTCGTTTCTGCTCTTCTTCTTCTCTTCTAGGAGGAAGATGCATAGTCATGATGTCTGCCACTTTATTCGATCGACTGGCCAACCGACAGTCTGACAGCTGGTTGAAATTTAAGTGGGGTTGTTTATGAAGATCTCCTGCTAAACATGGTTTTAATGTTATACTGCAGTCTTCAGAAGTAAACCTAATGTAATGCTGTGTAGACAGTTACACAGCAAGTACTCCGACATCACAGCAGTGGACCAAGGACAGGAAAACCTCCTAAACCTATAAGCAGTAGTGGAACCTTAAACGGGAGGTAAAATCCTTAAAACGACAACCACATTAGGTTGAGTTTTTGGCTTACTGCAGTAGTGTGACCTGAATTAGATGTTATGCTGATCCCATTGTTCACCAATTTAAACAACAGCTGAATATGGCTGCTCACCACCTGAGTGAAAAACACCTCATTTACAAATTTAGACCGAGGATGTGTTCGGCTGAGCTTGGTTAGATTGACCGAGGCCTCTATATTGAGGGCAGTGAACTGATGCTGTCAGCAGATAACTACTCAGTGTTCTTCTTCTCCCAAGGTCCCCTTTTGCACCTATAAAGTAGCTCATCAGCACCAGGATTCCCACCACTGACCTGGTATTCGTGACGTGGCTGTGTTATGAATATAACAGTTTATTGTATGAGTGCTCATGATCGTTATTTCTAACCAGCAAATAAATATTACATCTTGTATATGGAGGGTTATGATTACCGGATTTTGAACACAAAAGAAAAACCGGCTATTATATAATTCTGAATTTAATTTGTAATATTTTACCTCAGAAACAGAATTTTCTACATAAACTGATTTAAGGATTTTCCTATTTTTAGATGCACCTGCTGGATGTTGCTTTCAACCCACTCACAGACATAAACAGATATGAAAGATGATAGCAGCGGCAGCGTAGACCTGAAGACGTCTCCGAGTTTTGGGGTTGTTTTGGGGGTCATAGTTATCTGTGTTAAAGATGATAGTGGGTTTTATTTCCCAGCCACAGTGTACGGGGGCTCAGATTAATGTGATCTGATCTGTCTGGAGGTTGCTTTGAGGTTAGAACTTAACAGATCTGAAATTACATGCTGAGTTGTGTCAACATTTAAGGCTATCGGTATCTTATCTTGTCCTGGTTTGTTGAACTACTGGTCGGACAATCGTCTGCACTTTTAATTTCTCAGCTCTACCAATTCTGTTACCAATAAACATGAAAAGTTGCTGCCCTCAAAATACAGGCTGAAATCCTCTACAAGTTGTCAAGAAGTTGTATTTCTTATGAGGCAAAAAAACCCCAAAAAGGTTTACTTTAGAGGACATTTCCTGAGCTGTTTTCATGACATTTGAGCCAAGCAAGAGATAACTGTGCAAGGGAGGGCAGAGTATATGTTCTAGAAGAAGAGTTTTTAGTGGGTTGTTTGTGGGGTTTTCATTTGAGATGGGTAATTAACTTCATTCTGCAAAAATATTCTAGTTCTTGTGTTGTTTTACTGTGCCCTCCCAGCTTGGCGACTGTTCCCCAAACTTGGGCGTTTGCTGTGTAAGTGCAGGTGGTGTGTGCCGTTGAAGCGACCTACAGACTGCCTTCGGTTGTGATCTTCACCCTTTGCTACAGCTCAGTCATTCCAGTCGATTTACCTTCGATGGTGTACATTTCCGCGCTCATTAGATCAGTGTCAAAGGATAATTCATTTCACATTAACGCAGCCACGTTCTGTAACCGACGGCTTATACTGATTTCCCTCTTTGCTCATGTAGTGGTGTTGGTCATTTGTGGTTTAGGCCCTGCTTGTAATGTAAATGTATATTTGTCCATGCAAGAAACCAAGTGACACAGCAAACCCGGTCCTTTGATATTGTAACCGTTGTTCCATTCAATGCTGCTTAACGGTACCCTGTGTGAGTTGTTCCTCATTTTAAAGCTGCATTAAGCGATTTTTGACCTCTAGGAGCAGGAAGACTCTGACCTTTTGCTTGTTATACTTTTGTGAGATGTTGGCAAGCAATTTGCTCTTTACACATCCAGCAGAACCAGAACCACATGAGCATTGCAGTAGAGTCTTTCTGGCCACCTCATGAATGTAAGTGCAATATTGTTTTTAAGCCACGATTTGGTAAAAAGCTCCAAACATCTCTCTTTTGGTTTGTCTACATGCTTATCTTTGCTAACCACTTGACACACCAGCTCTCTGTAGTTTTGCATGAGACAGGCAGCCTATAGTCAATTTGAAATCTGAATTTGCTGGGAGTGGCTGTCCATTGTGTCTACTGTAGGAGCCAGTGTTGTTTTGTTTTTTTGCAAATTAGTGACAAAACAAAAGAAGTGAAAGTTACAAAAGCAGCTGAGGAATGCTGCAGAAATCCATTTTTTTTATTCTCAGTGGGACCATCAGCATTCATCAACCTTTAAACATAATCGAGAGTTTGTTGATTCAGTGTTTGTATGAGAAATATTGCTTTATGCAGCTTTAATGCAGTACAGATTGTTCTGTATATGTGCCTAAAGATGTATTTTGTAGGAAAAGTGGAAAACAAAACAAAAAAAAAAAGATGCTGAGAAGTACTTACCATTACATGGACATGCTGCACTTTTTAAAAACATTTTCCAACATTTTTAAGCATTCCCTGTGACACTGTGCGTATCCAGGTGTACCGTGTCATTGGATTTAGTTCTCCATGACTTTGTGATAAGGTCAGAGGGATTTCCACTTGAACCAAGAATGGGTCAAGTCATTCATTTATCACAGTCGATCTGACTTCTGCCTTCAAGTGGGTAATAGTTCTGCTATCTGACGTCTACATCTGTACGATAACGGGAGACAGCAGATTTGTCCGAGTCTTGTGAATTCCCTTCTGTAGCCATATGACTTGGCGTATATGAAGAGTGACGGTAGGGAACAACAGCATAGCCGTGTCAAATGCTAGACCTACGATAACATATATATATTTTTTAATTTTGATAGCCTGTGTTTTTTGTACTCCCTTGGAGCATAGTGCAGTGGGTTAGTAGATGAAAATTATAGGATCTGAATTCGTGCTGTATAATCTTCACAACGTGGTGACAAACGACAACATGTAAGACAGGAGAAATCCAAATTCTGCAATAGCGTAAAATAAAATAGCTCAGTTTTTTTACCGTATAATGTAAAAGTTGAAATATTCCATTATAGTGACGATTACAGAAGTTGCACAATATTCATTCCTTGAGTAGGATTTAAAAGAAAATATATATATATATATATATAGCAGGTTATGTGAAATGCGTGTCTTGGCACAGGGTTTCAGAAATCCAAGAGCCACAGAATGAATATTTAAAAACAAACAAAAAAAAAAGAATTGTTTCTACGTGTCTCTATTACACTGACCAAACTGAAGTAGTAGAAAATCAGAACCGTTGTTCAAACAAGTCATCTTACTTTCAAGTGCATTGATAGGATCTTTTAGTAAAAAAAAAAGAGTTTAATTGCAGGATAATATGTATTTATTAAGTTATGTTTCAAACTTTACACGATATACTGTATATGAGTATACTGTATATAAAGTGTGTGTATCTGTTTTTAATCTGCTGTACAGCCAAAAAAAAAAAAAAAACGAACATCTGATGAATTCTGACAGGTATTGTGCACCCATTTGTGTTAAATCAACTAGGCTGCTGATGTGTTGAGTAGGAGGCGATTGTGTTAAATTACACAGTATCTATTTTTTTATTTTGAAACTTTGTCAAAGGCTATGGTTTTGCTGTCGCTGCCAACCTAATAAAGGTGAAAATAGTAGACATCCGCATCTGTCTAGTTGCTTTTGTGACGTGTGTGTGTTTCTGTACCAACAAACACCAGATAGCCAGCCGTCATTAGTGACCAGTTGAACTTTAATATTTCCTTCATTTGGTGCCTTTTCTTTCTAATGATCAAATGTTTGAGCCCCGTGGAACAAAGCCTGTGCAGGTGTTCCTCATAATTTCTATGACGATTGTACGGCTGGCTGAAGTTCTGCCACTCAGGGTTGCTCCATCTAAAACACAATATGCACTTCTGGTTCCACGGTGTATTGATCCCAGTTTTCTATCACAGCAAACCCTTAGAAGAAATGACGCCAGTGATTACTTAGCAACAAAGTGAAGACGTCACTTTCAGGTTTTGGTCTTAAACATCTCCTCTTAGCTAGCAGACGACTGCTCAGGTGACATTAGCAGTGCAACAGAGGAGCCTTACCTTCACTGGTACTGGGAGTTAATGCACACTAGCTCTGTTGGTGTACATAGTGTTCACCCAGTAGTTTAGTGGAGAGAGGAACAAGATGAGGTGGAGGGAGGTATT